ATTAAATCCGAAGCAGCGGATTTTGTAATGAGTCAACCGAGTTTTTTTTGGCCTATAAGTCATCCGGGATGATAATCTACTAGCTTTTTTCTCAACTGGGGAAGTTCGATCACTAAACTAAATTAGCCAGGGATATTCAAAGCGCTATTTTTTACAGCACTGGCTAGCAAGCTGGATGGTATTAGGAGTCTTTGGTTAACCTAAGAATGCTGTACTTGTCCAAAAACTCTATATTGTACGACGACAACTGACAGTGAGTTGGATGTAGTGAGTTAAAACTGGGCTTGTGAAAATGCAGCTTGCGATCAAGACTTTATGGCTACAAGGCAAACCAATGAATTACAAATGTTTCAGTTGTCCAAACTTTACTAGACGTTGGACATTTTGCGAATTTGCTACGAACCGTTTATCTCCTGAACTCGGAAAGCGACCACGTACGAAAAGTTCAACGACACTTGGCGAACACGAAGGGTCGCAGCGTCACCAACACCAACAACAACCTGCAGCAAAGCTACCCCACCTTCTGGTTTATGTTGGACAAACTACTCCACCAGGCTCTTTCGCGCCAGTCCTCGTACCCCATTTATTGCGCGATAACTCCGAATCTGCAGAGGTCACTGATTTTGATAATTTACTAAAATGGTGTCTTATGGACCACTTCCTGAAACAGCGCACCCATGCAGTCTTTCTGCTGTGCAAAATTGCTCTTTTCATACACATTCTAAAAATTCGTTGCATTGAGAAAAGAGGGCACTTCCTCGGGAACAACTTCTTGTTTAAAACTCTTAGATTTTTTTTTTTCGACAACATTATCCATATGAAAAATTTCATTTTTCTCTCACAACTGACTGTTTTGAGCGAATCGTTCGTTGCACCAGTGCGTCCGAAAAAAAAACGTCAAAGTCATCGGGTCAGGATGAAAACCCTGACAAATGTTTCAGGGTTGTGAACTTCAAAGATGAAATTGTGAGAGTTGCGAAATTGAATACTAATCCTTGTCTAAAAGAAATTGCAGAAATATAGGAAATGTTTCGTAAAATCATCCAAACTTTTATAGGCGCTTCTTTTTGAAATTCTTGAGATGCCGTGATTCCACCTCCCTTATCTTTTTTTTCGCAAGAAAATAAGAAAAACTGTTGGATCTTCAGAGCCACGATGCGCGGAAAAAGCGTGAACATACGCCGCCGCAAGCAGTATGCGAAAGGTTGGCGAAATATTTCCGTGAGACAGATATCGATATGCTAAGGCTGACCGAAATGCGGTTTACGGATGAATTTGTGGATCGTTTAGTGGCTACTTTTGGGGCGCAAAAGATACGATGTAAAAAGCTGGAAATCAGCCTCTGCAAATTAAATTATATCACAGCCAAAAAGTAAGTTCGTTCATTCCAAGGCCTGCTAATAAGGAAAATACCTTCTGAACAACAAAGGTAGATCCAGGGTGGCCTCCTAGAAAGAGGAGGGGGGGGGGGCGACCGGGAGTGCGGAAGAGAGTTTTCTACGGTTTTAGCACTGCTACCTGTTCCGCTGGAAGCGAAAGACCCATCGATCCCCCTCCCCGCTCCTCACCCTGGATCGGCCCATGCTGAATAAAAAATTAACCTGTGGATTAGTTGAGTCAGAAGCACTGAGTTTTGTGTCACTCAGTGGTACCTGCTTGTTTGTTTAGTTTCGAAATGGCTCCATCGCGTCATTTGTTTTTGAAGGTTTTGCGATGGTTTGACGATGATTGCAGAATCACCACGTACTTTTTTAAGCCGCTGTAACAAGCTTAGTATATCCTTTAGTAATATTTCTGATTTTGCGGTGCAATTCACGCATAACTCTCTGCTGATAAGATCTGTAAAATAATTCACTTTACTCTCTGCTGTCCATTCTTCCAAATTCATGTGCGTCATGAGAGTGCTGGAGAATGCCGTCTTCGGAACGAATTTCAATTTCTGACAGCGCAGGGCACTATTGGAACTGTTAAATAAAAAGCACGTAAGCTCTGAATTAAACAGCTATGGAATCAGAGAGCACGCTGTGGATCAGCTCAACGATTCGGCCCGATTATCGGCGCTCGGCGATTGCTAAGGGCC